TGTGTGTGTGTGTGTTGTGCTGTGCGCTGTGGGTGTGTGTGTGCTGTGGCTGGGTGTGTTGTATATCTCTGCTGTGTGTGTGTGCTGTGTTGCTGTGTGTGTGTTGTGTCGTGGTGTGTGTGTTCGCTGTGTGTGTATGCTGCTGTGGTGTGGGATGTGTGCTGTGTGTGATGCTGGGTGCGTGTGTGTCGTGATGGTGTGTGTGTAGCGCAGTGCTGGCGTGTGTGTGTGTGATGTGCTGTGTGGTGTGTGTGTGTCGTGTGTGTGTGGGTGCTGTGTGTTGTAGTGTGTCTGTGTGTCGTGTGTGTGTGTGTGTGGTGTGTGTAGGCTAGCATCGTTAGCGCGTCGGGCTCGAAGTCATGATGAGACTACCTTCTCCTGAAGATGCATGGCCATAGCTTGCTAGACGGTCGCCACGTCGTCTGCCGTGTTTCAACATCCACTTCGCAAGCGCGCGCTTTTCAGCTCACCATCTGTAACAGAAAGTGCATGTCAGTCTAAGCCACAAGTATAGCGACAATACGAATTTCTTTATATCGCTTTATTAATTAATTTTCATAATAATAATTCATATCAATTCAATCGCCATCGTTAGTAAATTCTAACGATGGCAATAATTTAATATCAAAACTAAAAAGAGTTCTTTTGATGGACGATGACGATGATGCATGACGATGGTGACCGTCACCTTTCGTGAGCTTGCTGATCAGCAGTGAGGGTTCCTGCTGCGTGAGCAGTGCCGGCTGAGTCTCGGTGCATCTAGTCTGCTCCTCATCTCCTTTCCTCCCTCTCCGCCCTGCTTGCAGCCACGCTGCGTCTGCCAACAACAATGGCGCGCCGCTGAGACGCCAGCCGACAGTCTAAAACTTATGCCGTTTGCCGGTGCAGCCCGTTGCTTCCCCAGTCTATTCTCCCCTCTTGTCTCGTTCTCTCTCGCGCATTCCAATTTTAAATCTTCTGTCACTTCCTATTCCACCTATTCTCTCTTCCTTCCCCATCTCTCATTCATAGTTATTGCCCTATTGGGACTAATTGATTAATAAAGAATTTAATATTCGACTACAAAACTTTCGGATACCGAATTATCGACATTAATGCATCGATATAGATTCTAATTACCAATTCATCATCAATCTGCTTGTGACTTCCTGCACTACTCACCGTCGCTATTTAGACCAGCTATCCGCTACTACGCCTCAGACCAATATATACAGCGACATTGAAGCGCCACACGCTACGCGCCATGTTCTGCTACCTGCAGGTCACGTTGAAGGTGAGAGCTGCCCTAAACAACCGATGACAGTCAAATTCAAACTGATGTTTTAACAAACGAACCATATAGAATGCCTCTATAAACGCTAGTAAAACGACATTTGGTTCTCACAGACACGTTTCATTTAGCAAATAAGGCATACATACACATATAGGCCGTATGGCGCTAACTTACATAAATGTTAAATGTAAGTTACATAAAAAGTAAATGTAAATAAGATCGGTAACGATATTCGAGCGCATGTGGCAGCAAAACGTAACAAATCCCTCATTTTAACTTCTCTGTATAATATATATAAATATTATATTATATATATATAAAGTTAACATGCAATAAATATTTATTTATATGTATTGTTCTCGGCTACTAGAATAGGCGCGGCTATCGTTGCTAGGCCAGCGCTGATTACCTGCAGCCGATAGGCCCTTCTCTAGCCGTGAGTCTCTGCCCGTACACGCTGCCCGCGCTCGCACCTCAGTGCGCAGGTCTGCAAGCGTTCTGCTCCAGCAAATGGCCGTTAATCGCGCTGCCTCACGGTCGCTATGAGCTTCACTACCCCGCAGAATGTCCACTCGCTCTTGCTTCTAGGTTGCAGCAGAGAAAGGAGAGAGAGTTCTCACTCCACTACAGATAGAGCCGCTCTCGCTCATGGCGCTCAATCTACGTATCCTGATTGAGGCGAAGGGCACGTGCCATGAGTTTGGAGAGGTGTCGTGTGTGTGTGCTGTGGGTGCCGACAGATAGTCCACAATCAAGTGTGGCCTTAAGACCACGGGGACCATATGCCCCACTGGACGCCAATAATACACTGCGGTCAAGTGATGCAGGCATACTTTTCTTTGCTGAACGGCGGATATAGCTTCCAACAATGGCTTACCACACACTACTATAGTAGAAGGCTTAGGCCCCCTTCATAACACATTACTATAATATATGACCTTGGTGGCCGCCAGCATACACTTATACTACATTACTACTATACGCATGCGCATTAGCCACGTCATATACAATAGCTAATATGTGACTTAGGCCCCGTCAATACGAATATTAACTTTATGTGCGCTTGGGCCCCCATCACACTATTATTACAATTTATATAGGTGCCTTAGGCCCCCGTCATACAAAATAACGCCGGCAACACTATAGCGTGTTACTAATAACTTAACGAGTGCTGCAACTTGGCGCTTGTCTTGTTTTTTTCCCCTATTAATGCGCTATACTCATGCCTATGGCGTATACAATCGGTGTTGATACCATGGTAACTTGTTTTAGCAATACTAAAATACGTAAAACTAAAAGAACTATTTCCGTCGCGGCAATGCCAGTTATTGTCGGAGTGTGCTTGAACGGGTGCTGGAGGCCAGCGCCGCGTGGGACGGAGCGCTGAGCTAAAGCTACACTTGGATGTTGGAATCTCGTTGTCGCCTGAAGATGCCTATGAAGTTTGCTCAGACGGCACTGCACGCCTACACGGTGCGCGCGCATGCGCCAATATCTCACGTGAGAAATCGATATTTGCAAAAGATTCATGCATTTAAAAAATGAAGAGGAGCTTACGCCTATCATAGCATTTAAATGATCAACATTCCATCAGTTGCACATCATTTAAGAAATAGGAGGAAGACCTTGCCTTAATTCCCTCTGCGATACCACCCAGTACAGCAAATCTGGCTACGCATGGTGTTAGCGACTATGCGCAATTATCTCACCAGAGGAGTTATATTTTGATGATGAAATATGCATTAAAATGGTTAGGCGGGATAACTCAGCATAGATTTCCCTAATTACACTTCTTATTAGTAGACCTGTGTTTATAATTAGGAGAGCGCCCTTACCGTGTAAGGTTACCAAAACACCTATATTTTATGCCCTGGCCTTGTTCTTTCCCTGCCTTCCCTGGTCCTCGCCTCAGCTCCTTCTTTCTTCTACCGCTCCCTGGCTATCTTTTCTGCAGTCTTTCCTTAGTACTCCCATCCCCTCTCTCTCCAGCACAAGCTATATTAAAAAGTATGCAACTCAGACGGCACATGCACGCCTAACACGGTCGCGCGCGCATGCGCAATATCTCCGAGAGAAAAGCATATCTTAGCAAAGACTCATGCATTTAAAAATGAGCAGATGTTATGCCTAGCATAGATTTCTATGATAACATTTTTCAGTCAGACATCATTTAAGGAAATAGTGAGAAAGACCTTGCATGTAAGCGTCCCGCTGCGGTTTATACCAGCCAGCCTACACAATCTGCTTATGTTAGCTGTGTTAGCGCATGCCGCAATACTCACCAGAGGAGTATATTTTGGGATGAATATGCATTAAAATGGTTAGCGGAAAGCTCAGCCAATAGTATTTCCCCTAATAAACTGTTTTATCAGTAAACCTGTGTTGTATAATTAGGAGCAGCGCCCTAGCCCCGCATTGGGTAGGTTACAAAACATCTACTTTATGCGCCTTCGCGCTTCTTCCCCTTGCTTCCCGTGTCCCTCGCTCAGCCTTTTCTTCTTCTACGCCGCCCCAGAATCGCTTTCCTGCAGCCTTTCTCGTCAAGTCTCGTCATCCCCTCTCTCTCTCAGCAAGCTATATTATGAAGTTTGCCTCAACTGGCACTACACCGTAACACGGCGCGCGCCGCTGCATGCTGCAATATTCTCGACGAGAAATCGTATTTTCTGCAAAGATTGTGGCATTTAAAATGATAGGCAGTTCATCTTAGCAGTAGATTTATATGATAACATTCCATCTGTAGACATTAATTAAGAATAGGGAGCGAAGATCTTGCATGTAAAGCTCCCCGCTGGTATCGCACAGGCGACAGATATCCACATCCAAGTGTCGCCAGAAGCCACAATTCTAACAGTTCTACATTCTAACAATTCTACATTCTAACAATTCTACATTCTAACAATTCTACTCACAATTCTACATTATAACATTCTACATTCTAACAAATTCTACATCTAACAAATCTACACATTCTAAAACTAATTCTACATTTAACAATTCTACATTCTAACAATTCTACATTCTAACAATTCTAAATTTTAACAATTCTACATTCGAACAATTCTACATTTTAAATCTAACATTCTAAAGCCCGGCTTAAACATTTTGCCTCAAAAAAACATTATCGTAGCAATGTTCCATGAAATGTTCGTCAATGTGCGGTGAAAAAGTCGCCGAACATTTGTTCCGAACCTAGATCGGAAATGTTTGATATCTCGAAACATTGTTCGTCGAATGTTCGTCAATGTGCGGCTGAATGTCGAACAATTCTAGAAACATTTGTAAAATAGTAACAATAGCAGCACGATATGTGGTCACATGATTTTGCTGTCCAATCATGCGCCGATCACGTGACTCTTTACGAACACAGCTACTAGACGGCGCCAAGAGATTGTTCGCCTGCAAAATGTGTTGGCAATGTGCGCTCAGCAATTGTCCACCCGCACATTGCCAGACAAAAAACATTTGTCGGACGAAACATTTGTTCGGGAAAATGTTCGGCAATGCCAATGTGCGCCAGGCTTAACAATTCTACATTCTAACAATTCTACATTCTAACAATTCTACATTCTAACAATTCTACATTCCAACAATTCTACATTCAAACAATTCTACATTCCAACAATTCTACATTCCAACCATTCTACATCGAAACAATTTTACGTTCAACAAATCTAACATTCTAACATTCTAGACTCTAGCTGAGACGGACGGCAGCGCCACCTACCTTTCTCCTGGTCTCTGCGCACGCGCTCCTGCAGGACCCGCACCTCGGCTCTCAACCTCTCGTTCTCGTCGTTTTTCTCTCGCAGTTCCTCCAGTAGGCTGAGGCTGCGAGCGACCCCCGCCACCTCGAAGTCAACGCTGTTCCTCGTCGGCGACGCATCCGAGGTGAAAGACGTCGCCATGTCAAACAAGTGCTCCGTACGGATTGGCTCGAACGCCGACGCGATGACCGCCAACTCGCTGTCGCTCAACTCGTTGCCGTCGTACCAGTAGATGGCGCCACCGGTCGTCGCCGATGACGTGATCAGGTTTGGCGACGCCGGAGAGAGTGATTGATAGTCGCTGGTCACGCTCTCGCGTTTCGGGTCGCCGCCGCCGGTGGCGCCACCGTCGCCCGAGTCGACGTTCAGTGAGCGTCGATTCTCGACGTTGGCCGGTCGCCGCGCGCGCACGGGCGCCCCCTCGTGGCCGATCTCCGCCTCCGTCGTCGCACCGCCGACGCGTTCTGGTGCAAGCAGGTCGCGACTGCTGGACGAACTCTCAGACTCGGTGCGCACACGAGAGGGCGCGCGCGTCGCCGTCATCTTGCGTTCCTTGAGCAGCACGAGCGTGGACTCTTCAGGCGCCACGCGTCGCTTTTCCTCCCACTTACGCAAGTCTTTAGCGAAGCGATCAGAGATTCCCTCAAAGCGTCTCTCTCCTGCCTCCGTTGCCACGGTGATGGCTGCTTTAGGCTTGTGGCTGTGTCGCTGCTGTGGCACCGAGGTCTCCTCTTTAAGGATGTCCTTCTTTAGCTCGAGGCAGGCTTCCTTCTCTAACGTCTTTAATCTGGCGGAGAGAGAAACGGGAGAAGGTTAGCGGAGGAAGGTGAGAGAGAAGGTGATGAGAGAGAAGGTGGAGTAGAGGGAAAAGAGAAGGGGGAGTGGAGGGAAGAAAGAAGGGGGAGTGGAGGGAAGAGAGAAGGAGGAGCTGGGGGTTAGCGGATGAGAGTGAGAAGGGGTGAAGGGTAACGGAGAAGACAGAGAGAGAGAGACAAGGTAACGACCATTGTTAGCGAATCAGTGACACAATGATCGTTTGTTAACTCTCTACATCTAGAGGCCGAGTTCCCTTAATAAAAGCTAACTAACATTACACCGCTTGTCAGATAGCAAAACAGATACACTGCCCGCGCGAGTGAGACAGTGTGGCAAGTCCAGTTCTTCTCCAGCCAGCTGCTAAGTGCTATCTGCTATTCTGTTTTTCTTGCTGACGCGCCCAGTACCTCTCCTTCTGGAGTCTCTCCTTCTCCTTATCTAGCTTCAGTTGCTCCCTGGACATCCTCAACAGCTCCTTCTCTCGATGCTTTTCCAGTTTGGCCTTCTCCTGCAAAGGAACGGTATGTGTGAGCGGCTTCTCCTACATACTAGCAATGACGTATTGTATAAGGACACCGCGTGAGATGGGTCTGACTGGACTCCCACTGGTAGCGCAGTGCTCGCAAGAGAATGGCTTCTCTCAAGGCTATTTCCCATCCCTGCATCTTCCCATTCACACCTGCATCCCTGCATCCAGCTTCTATACATTGCTTCATTCCTTCATCCCTGCATCCCTGCATCCCTGCATCCATCCTCTATACATTACTCTATTCCTGCATCCCTGCATCCCTGCATTTTTTCATCTCTGCATGTGTCTGTGTATCGATAGCCTTTCGTAAGGCGGATAACGCCCATGCCTCTATTCTCCTCCACACACACACACATGATCGCTGAAGATTCCCCATTCACATACCTTCTCCTGCCTCTCCTTCTCCTTCTCCTCCTTTGTCTTCGCGATCTTCTTCGATCCCTTCCTCTCTACCTTCTGCGAACCTTTCCGAGACAGCTTCCCCGATCCCTTTCTCTCGATCGTTGCCAACGTACTTCCGGCGTCTAGCAAGTCGCCTTCCGACTGACTGCCGCGCATGGCGCCATCTATCGGGCGCTCTCTGACGGAGGAGAGGTCAGCGAGGTCAAGGCCAGCGGGCAGAGCATTCTTCTCCGACTCGGTCCTCTTGGGGGACTTACGGGAGGCGCTGCTGCCACCTGCTGGAAGAGAAGGAGAGAGAGGATGTGCACGTAAGAGAGAGAGAGAGAGAGAGAGAGAGAGAGAGCGAGAGGAGAGAGAGGATGTGTGCGTGGGGGAGAGACAGAACCAGCGACAGAGGGAGAGAAATAGCAAAAAGAAGCGAGAGAGATAGAGAGGAAGGAGAGAATAAAAGAGAAAGAGAAAGAAGGGGCGCGAAAGAAGATAGGCAAAGACAATATGAGAGAGAGAGGATAAAGATAGACAAGGAGAGAGAGAGAGAACGAGAGGGGAGGAGGAGGAAGGAGAAAAATCTGCGCTAGAAGCATAGATGCGTCATCTACGGGGTTGTTGCTTGCTCACCTGACGCGTCCGCAGTCTTCATCTTCTTCCACTGCTCCATCTTCCGCATGTAGTCTTGGTCCATTCCCTTCAACATCTCCAGAGCAGCTCGCTCCTTCTCGTTACTACCAAACTCCGACCCTGCAATCACCCCCACGTTCACAGAAACACTAGCAAGTAGACAAATTACAATCACATCGCAGGTGAGATCTTCTTATATGTCCACAACTCTAAACTCAATGCACTGAAGATAACCTCACAGAGACCAACGAACGTGCAGTTAGCTGCGCAAAGCACTGGAGGAACCCGATATAACTTTGGGATGGATGGACACGATATAACTTTGGGATGGATGGACACGATATGACTTTGGGATGCATGGACACGATATGACTTTGGGATGCATGGACACGATATGAAAGGATTACAAGTGTAACACGTCTAAGTGTCTGACGTAGATGACCTACAGAAGTTATGATATTCCAGACTTGCTTGAGATTTTATCTACCCAAAGTGCGCTTCACTGCGATTCAGTAGCAAGAGGTTTGCTGACGTCACACACCAAAAACAAACAAACACTAGACGCTCTTATGCATTTCCAGTACTAGTACTACCACAGCTGGCTAAAAGGGACAAGAACACATAATTGGAGTTGATAGGGGGTTTACAGACAAACCCACGTTCGGGGTTACCTATATAACACGGCCACCTCTGTAGCACGGACACCTCTATAGAACGGCCACATCTATAGCACGGACGCGCGTCTACAAGAGACACCCTGAGCAACATTCTATAAATTTAATTCCAACTGCACTTTAGTTTCCAATTGGTGGAAATTATTCAGTCACACCACCTTTATACAATCGAACGCCTGTCAACAACGGACGCTTGTCCGCGGAATGACCGCTATATGCAGGTTAGACTGTGTATGAGAGTACCGGATGCTGGCTGCAGCAGGTGCTCAAAGTCCGGCGCGTCATCGAAACCTGTCTGGTTTGGCGGAGGGCTGCAGGGCGCTGACGACGAGGGCTCCTTCTTGCCGGAACCCATCACGTGTCTGCAAGAGTCCAGCAATCGGTCAGAAGGTCAGAATGTCGTGAAAACAAGAGGGCAAGAGTTCATGAGGTAAAGATGTCAAAGGGTCGTGAGGTCAGGAGGTCAAGGGGTCCAGAGGACAGGAGGTTATGAGGTCATGAGGTCAAGGGGTCATGAGGGCAGGAAGACCAGGGGCATGATGTCATGAGGTCAATGTGTCATGAAGTCAGGAGGTCAAGGTGTCATGAGGTTAGGAAGGCCAGGGGTCATGAGGTCAGGAGGTCACAAATACCTTAAGCATTTATGGCAACACACTCTCTTGTTCTTGATCTTGCTGTCTATCTAGATCTGTTCCTCTCCTCATCACTCTCACACACACTTATTCTTCATTACCTCTCATTCTACCTCTTCCTCTACCAATCCTCTGTCGCTCTTTTTCCCTTTCTCTCTCTCTATCTCTCTCTCCTTCTCTCTCTCTCTCCCTCTCTATTTCTTTTTCTCTCTCTCTCTCCCTCTCTATTTCTTTTTCTCTCTCTCTCTCCCTCTCTATTTCTCTCTCTATACTCATGCTCTCTTGTTGGCGTCGATTTCTGTAATCGTGTGTCTCACTCTATTTTTCTCTCTCTTCTCTCATCTCTGTTTTTTTCCCTTGTTGCCTTTCTTTCTGTGTCCGTGCGTGTATGTCACTCTATTTCCTGCTCTCTTCTCTTCTCATGCTCCTTTTAGTTTGTTGTCTTCTTATCTGGGTCGTGTGTGTCTCACGTTCTATTCTGCTCCTCTCTGATTTTGTTGCTCTTTTTTCTGTCGTGTGATGTCCACTTATTTCTCTCTCTTCTTTTTGTGCTTTTCTTTTCGTCGTGTGTTGCGTCACTCTATGTCTCTCTCTCTTTTTGTTGCTACTTCTTTCGTCCGTGTCGTGTCTCATCTATTTTACATCTCTCTCTCTTCTTTTGTTGGCTCTTTTTCTGTACATGTCTCGCTCTCTCTATTTCTTTTCTCTTTTTTGTAGCATCTTTTTTCTGTCGGTCTGTCTCAGTCTTTTCTCTCTCTCTTCTCTTTTTGTTGCTTCTTTCTCTTGTCCGTGTGTGTCTCACTCTATTTCTCTCTTCTCTCTCTTTGTTGTCTTTCTTTTCTGTCGCCGTGTCTGTCTCACTCTATTTTCTCTCTCTCTCTCTTTGTTGCTCTTTCTTTCTGTAGTGTGTTGCTCATATATTTCGTCTCTCTCTTTTTGTGCCTTTCTTTGTCGTGTCTGGCTCTCCTCTATTTCTTTTTTTTATTTACCCCGGGCACGGGTTTTCTCTTCCTCTTTTTATTTATTCTCTCTCTCTCTCTTTTTGATTGCTCTTTTTTCTGTCCGTGTGTGTCTCACTCTATTTCTCTCTCTCTCTCTCTTTTGTTGCGCTCTTTTCTTTTTGTCCGTGTCTGTCTCACTCTATTTCTCTCTCTGCTCTTTGTTGTCTCTCTTTTGTCCGTGTGTGTTCACATTCTATTTCTCGTCTCTCTCTTCTTTTCTGCTCTTTTTTCTGGTCGTGTCTGTCTCACTTCTATTTCTTCTTCTCTCTCTCTCTCCTCTTGTTTGCTCTTTCTTTCGTGTCGTGTGTGTCTCACTCTCTTTCTCTCTCTTTCGATGATTGCTCTCTTTTCTTCTCTCTCTTCCTAATTTGTTCACCCCTTTGCCACCTCTTTTCTTTTTCTCTCTCTGCTTCTCTCCCTCTCTCCCTCTTCTCTCTCACACAATCTCTCACCACAGATCACAGGTCAGTGACGAACCTGTCCAAGGCGCAGTGACGCGGCACGGCCTCGCGCGCAGGCGCCAGTGAGAAGACAACGTCACGTGGTGACGCCGGACGACCGCGCCAGATCGTCTGCGTCGTACGAGCGCAGCGGCGGCAGCACCGGCGCGACGACGACCAGGCGCGACTCAGCGCCGTTCCTCCCGATTGCCGATGCGACGGCGCTGATAGTCGCCCCAACGATGGCGCGCGCCAGCAGCAGCAGCCAGCAGCAGCAGCAGCATGCCTGAAAGCATGAAAATCGGCGGCCGAAAATCGTCTCTGACGAAACCGCCAGCAGTAATCAAAGCGGCGTCGTACAGGAACTGTGAGCAATAGGTGAGCCGCGAGTCATCTGTTGTGCTTAGGTCGCAGCATGATCAATTTCGAATAGCGAGTATCTGTATAATATAATATATATTTATATATATTATTTCTTCTATATCAGTTCAGGAAAAAAAATGAGGGATGTTAGCTAAATATAACATAATAAAATTATAACGCTTAGGAGCATTACGAACAGCGTTACGTAAAAAGCTTACAACTAAACAGATTAAACATAGGACGATACTGTTACTTCTACATCTCGCTCACGCTTCTCGTCGCGCCAAGTTTCGGCATCTGGGACAGAGAAAAAACGCGGACGATTTCTATCGTAAAAAACAATGTAAAAAACGTTGTTATTTAAAAAAATTACAAAATGCATTGTTTAACTCTCTCAAGGTAAAAAGCAAGCGCTGTCGAGAGATGAGAGGCCTTGGGAAGGAGGAGTTCTTACCAACCCACCCCGCGACAGAGTGATATGCTCACGGCGACTCGGAGAGGTGGGACAGGAAACCATTATTCTAAGCGGGGTGGGTTGGTGGGCAGATGCGGACGAATGACGAATGATGTAATATGTACAGTGCAAACATTATTCGCTAAGCGGGGGGGTGTGGTGGTCAGAGGTGGAGCGATAGGTGTAATAGGGGAGAGGCAAATCATTATTCTAGCGGGGGTGGGTGGTGGCAGAGAGGACGATGCAATGATGATAATTAGGGACAGGCAAACCATTATTCCTAAGCCGGGGGTGGGGTCGGTGGCAGAGGGACGATGACAATATGCTAATAGGACAGGCAACACATTATTCTAAGCGGGGGTGAGAGTCGTGCGGCAGGTGGACGATGACAATGATGTAATAGGGAAGGCAAACCATTATTCCTAAGCTGGGGGTGGTGGTCAGAGGGGCGATTTGCGTTGTAATATGGAGGAGGTGTACGGCGTCTAGCGTAATTCGCGTAGGTGATGATAGGAAGGGACGTAAGGTGCGGGCGTGGCCGAAAGGAGCCAGGAAGGAAGAGGACGGTCGATAGAGGCCGGAAACAGTGTCATAAATTGTATATGATTACAAAGCTTTTATAATAAAACTTCGCCAATAAATAATAATGATAATAATAAGTAATAATATAATATAATAATAATATATTATTAATAATGATAGATTTTATTATTTTTTATTATTATTAAAGAAGTTTACTTGTTAGCAGTAACTTAGGTAAGGGTAAGAGTTAGCAAGGTAAAACCCCGTTCACGTTGTGCGGCGCCGATCTTGCAGTCCGCATCAGCAGCTAGACGACGACGATCGGACGGACGGGCGAGAGGGGGATCGCAGAGCGCGCCAGGCTGCGAGGGTGGTGGCGCCTCTGACGCGCCGACCTCGTACAGCGACTGAATAAAGCCAGCGCCGAAGTCTCCTGTGCTCAGCAAGAGTGGGCCAGTGCAGACGCGCCGCATCACGGCGTAGGCTCTGCCTCACGTGGGGGCCGGGCCAGGCTCAAGGACAAGCTGAAGTGAGTAGACAGGTGGCGGAGGAAAGAGAGGGAGGGCAGACGCAGATACTGGTGGACTGGCGACGGGAAGGGTGGAGGCCGAGAAACAATGTGAGAAAGAGCAGCGAAAGAGAAAGAGAGAGAGAGATATAGAAAGAAGGGAGAGACGCGCGCGAGAGAGAGAGAGGAGGAGAGAGACGAGAGAGACGAGAAAGAGAGAGAAAGGAGACTTAGAGACGAGGAGGAGAAGGAGAGAGAGAGGATGAGAAAAAAAAGAGAGAGAGAGCCTGAGAGAGAGAGAGAGAAAAAAGGAGAGAGAGCGAGAGGAGAGAGAGATGAAGAGATTAGAGAGAGAGAGAAGGAGAGAGAGAAAGAAGAGGAGAGAGAGGAAAGGAGCGACAGAGATTGGTAGAGGGAAGAGGATAGATGAGAGGTAATAAAAGATAAGTGTGTGGAAGAGTGATGGGGAGAGTAACAGATCTAGATAGACAGCAAGATCAAGAACAAAGAGGGGTGTTGCCATATGCTTAGGTATTTGTGACATCTGACTCATGCGACCTGGCTTCTAACTCATGACACCTTGGACCGTTCCTGACTTCATGACAGCATTGACCTCAGTGACATCATGCCCTGGTCCCTTCCTGCCTTTATGACCCTGTGACTCATGACCTCATAACCTCCTTCCCTGGACCCTTGACCTTTTGACCTCAGACCTTTGACATTTTACTTCATGAAACTCTTGCTTTGTTTTCGCTCTCCTGCTCTCTCGACCGATTGGGACTCTTCGCAGCACGTCTGCTCGGCGCTCTCGCAGAATGAGCGTCATCGTCGGCGCTGCAGCCTCCGCAAACCAGACAGGTTTCGATGACGCGCCGGGACTTTGAGCCACTGCTGCAGCCAGCATCCGGTTACTTCATACACGTCTAACCTGCAGTATACGGTCATTCGCGGAAAGCGTCGGTTGTTGACAGGCGTTTTGATGTGTATAGAGCGTGGCTGTGACCTGAATAATTTCCACCATTAGGAAACTAAGTGTAGTTCTGGAATTAAATTTATAGAATGTTGCTTAGGGTGGTTTCCTGTCGCGTTGTCTTTGTGTATATGTGTGGCCGTTCTTAGAGGTGTCCGCTGCTCAGAGGTTGGCTGTGGTTATATATGGTAACCCGAACGTGGGTTTTGTCTGTAAACCCCTATCAACTCAATGGTGTGTTCTTGATCCCTTTTAGCTAGCTGCTGAGTAGTACTAGTACTGGAAATTGCATAAGAGCGTCTAGTGTGTGTTTGTTTTTGGTGCTGTGACGTGGCAACTCTTTGTATGAATCGCCTCAGTTGAAGCGCACTTTGGGCTAGATAAAATCTCAGCAAGTCTGGAATATCTAACCTTGGGTACGCGTCACTCTAATCGCTCAGACGTTAGACGTGTTTAACTTGAAGATCCTTTATATCGTGCTCCAGTCCATCTCAAAGTCATAAGTGTCATGCATCCTAAGTCATTCGTGTCCATCATCTCAAGTCATAACGTGTCATGCATCCAAAGTCATATCGTGTCATCATCTCAAAGTTATATCGTGTCATCATCTCAAAGTCACTCTGTCATCCATCAAGTTTATTCGTGTTTCCATCATTTCCCCAAGTCATATCGTGTCCATTCATCCAAGTTATATGTGTTATGCATCTCAAGTCATATCTGTATCATCTAAAGTCATATGTGTTCATGCATCCAAAGTCATATCGTGTCTTTATCAGCAAAGTCATATCGTGTCATGCATCCAAAGTCATATGGTGTCCATCCATCCAAAGTCATATCGTGATCATGCATCCAAAGTATACCGTGTCCATCATCTAAGTATATCGTGTCATGCATCAAAGTCATATCGTGTCATCATCCAAGTATATTCGTGCCATCCATCAAAGTATATCGTGTCCATCCATCCAAGTTATCGTGTCCATCCATCCAAGTATATTTGTGTCATCATCCAAGTTATAAGTGTCATCATCCTAAGTCATATCGTGTTCATGCTCCAAAGTCATATCGTGTCTATCATCAAGTCATATCGTGTCCATTGCATCCAAGTCATATGGTGTCCATGCATCTAGTCGTATTCGTGTCATGAATTCCAAAGTATACGGTCCATTCATCTAAATTAATAACGTGTCATCATCTAAGTCATATCGTGTCATCATCCTAAGTGATATCGTGTCATCCATCCCAAAAGTCATATCGTGTCCTCCATCCAAAGTCATACGTGTCATCCATCTAGTTATTTGGTGTTATCATCTAGTATATGAGTGTCCATTCATCGCAAAGTTTTACCGTGTCATCATCTAAAGTCATATCGTGTCCATCATCCTAAAGTCATATCGGTGTCCAATCCATCCCAAAGTATATCGTGGTCATCCATCCCAAAGTCATTGTGTCCATCATCCAAAGTATGTATTGTGTCCATCCATCCCAAAGTTATATACGGGTCGCATCTATCCCAAGTCATTATTGTGTCCATTCATCCAAAGTATATATCGGGTCGGATCATCCAAAGTCATATTGTTGTCCATCCATCCAAGGTCATATTGTGTCATCCATCAAAAGTTATATCGTGTCCATCTCCCAAAGTCATATCTGACATTGCATCCCAAGTATAACGGTGTCCATGATCCAAAAGTCTATCGTGTCTGCATTCCAAAGTCATTCGTGTCCATGCATCCCAAATATAGTGTGTTCATCCATCCAAATCATATCGTGTCCATGCATCTCAAGTGCATAAGTGTCCATCCATACCAAAGTATTATCGTGTCCTGCATCCCAAGTCTATTCGTGTCGATCCATCCAAAGTATATTGTGTCCATCCATCCAAAGTTCATATCGTGTCATGCACCCAAAGTATATAGTGTTATCATCCCAAGTTCATATTGTGTTCCATCCATCCCAAAGTCATATCCGTGCTCCATCATCCAAAAGTTATATCGCGGTCGATCTCATCCAAAGTCATTTCGTGTCCATGCCCATCCAAAGTTATATCGGGTCGCATCTCCAAAGTCATTCGTGTCCATGCATCCAAAGTTATATGTTCCATCCATCCCAAAGTTATAACGTGTCATGCATCCAAAGTCATATCGGGTTCCTCCAGTGCTTTGCGCAGCTAACTGCACGTTCGTTGGTCTCTGGTGAGGTTATTCTTTAGTGCATTGAGCTTGTGGGAGTTTGATGGACATAATAAATGAGAGACGTCACTATGCGATGTGATTGTAATTTGTCTCTTGTAGTGTTTTCTTGTGAACGTGGGGGTGATTGAGCGGTTCGGAGTTTTTGGTATAACGAGAGGAGCGAGCTTGCTCTGGGAATGTTGAAGGGAATGGACCGCTGACATACGGAGCATGGAGCAGTGGAAGAAGATGAAGGACGGGCGGAGCGTCAGGTGAGACAAGCACACCGTAGATGACGATCTATGTTCTAGCGCCAGATTTTCTCCTTCCTCCTTCCTCCTCTCGTTCTTCTCTCTTTCCTTGTCTATTTTTTCTCTCTCTCTCATATTGTTTGCCTATTTCTCTCGCGCCCCTTCTTTCTCTTTCTCTTTCATTCTCTCCTTCTCTCTATCTCTCTCGCTTCTTTTTGCTATTTCTGTCCTTCTGTCGCTGGTTCTGTCTCTCCCACGCACACATCTCTCTCTTTCTCTCGCCCTCTCTCTCTTCTCTCTCTCTCTATCTTTACGAGGCCACATCCTCTCTCTCCGTTCTCTCCAGCAGGTGGCAGCAGCGGCTCCCGCTAAGTCCCAGCGGACCGAGTCGGAGAAGATTGCCTCTGCCGCTGCTTGACCTCGCTGACCTTCTGTCTCGGGTCAGAGATAAGCGCGATAGATGGCGCATGCGGCGGCATGTTCGTCGGATAGGCGACTTTGTAGACGCCAGGAAGTACGTTTGGAACGATCGAGATGAAAGGTGATCGGGGAAGCTGTCTCGCGAAAGGTTCGCAGAAGGTAGAGAGGAAGCGTATCGAGAGATCGCGAAGAACAAAGGAGGAGAAGGGAAGGAAGAGCCAGGCAGAAGGTTGTGGATGGGAATGCTTTCAGCGTCATGTCGTGTGGTATGGGAGGAGAATAAAGGCATGGCCGTTATCCGCCTTACGAAAGCTATCGATAAACATGCAGAGATGAAAAATGCAGGATGCAGGGATGC